GGGGGGCTTTGTAAGTGTTCTTGAGGCGTGTGTGCGAGGTTCATTCACTGTGCGTGTGGCGGGGGCAAGAGGAAGGCTCTCCTTCGAATCTACGTGCGCTGGAATACCTATCGTAAGCCAGGTTGCGTGCGCTGCTGTGTGGCGATGTTTTCGAGTCCCACTTCAACGGAAGTAGCCGCAGCGTTTGTAGCAGCTCTGCAACGGACACCCTTCTGCTCCCATCATGCTGCGTGAAACGACAGGTTCCTTGTCCCCGGGCCGCCTCATCTCCCCGCCCAGGGATAGCACTTCAATTATTGTCCTAGGGGTTGGTTCTTTGGCAAAACAGAAGGCAGTGCTGACATGGGTTTCTCTACTTCGCGGACAACTGGTGTTCTTGCTCTATGTAGTTAGAACTGCACCCTACACTCAAGATCGAACAAAGCAAATCGGTATGCAGAGACATAACAAAAACAACGAAAACATCCGTAACAACAACTTGCCTTCCCGACAGTAACCTTCCCCGTCAGCTCGTCCACCACGCAGTATAAGGCATCCCCAGGCTGCACCCACGACCCCACCATGGGCAACCCGTCCCACCCCAGCCCCTCGTGGAGCTTTGTCGCAGCCGGGGCACCCTCCGCGCCCACCGACCCCGGCTTGACGTTGCAGAACTTCAACCTAGCCACCGCCGCGGAGCCGGCTCCCTTCCCAGCCACGTCCCTGAGGTCTACCGCGAAGGTTTTCAACACGGAGGCGTGTCCGAACCCCCTGGTCGTGAAAGGTTGGAGGAGGGAGGGTCAAACAATGCCGCAAAGGCAGGTTTTCGATCCTCCTTGGCAGCTGTCTAAAGAAGGCAGGCCTGTGTGTGTGCATCGATGTGTCCATGCCATGGACACCGACGAAGGGGTTCCGCGATTCACGAAGCCTCCCCCCCCCCGATCAAGCTCGCCCACAGCTGCTGCTGTTGCTGCAGTTTCGAATTTCCAAAAACAACTGAACATATTTAAAACGAGCTGGTGGTCAAGACCAAGCAAGTCTCAAACAAAAAAAATTGATCGAACAAGGACACAAACCTCGGGAAAACACCCAGCCCGGGGAGATGGTGTCAAATGACGAAAAATTGTTGAATTGAGAACATGAAGTCGTAATCCGATGGGAGCGCATCCTTCCATGAGGTTGTATGTAGGCTTATGTTTAGGTTAAGACTCAGGCTCAGGCTTGGCTTTGGCTTACGCCCAGGCTTAGGCTTACGCCACGCTTTAGGCAAAGGCTCAGGCTTAAGACCGACGTCTTGGTTTTACCTCTCGAAGCTGCTCTTGTTGAGGATCATGGCGTCTTCCATATCGAAACCCGTGTACGATATCACGGCCACCACCGCGTTAGTTCCCTGGGGGTAGTCATCCAGCTGGTACTCCCCGTGCCGGCGTGTTTGCACGATCGCCGCTTGCGGGAACAGCACCTGAACCGCGATTCAAGGAAATTCAAGCACAAAGAAGATACTATTTTTCAACCTTTTGAACGACTGCAGTCGTGGTTGCAGGGACAGCACCAGACCCACGCTACTGTAGGACACCCCATTACACTATACATAGGAGAGGCGAAAAAAGAAAAGAAGGACAAGCACAATTGCAAGCCAGTATTCATTAGCCTACAGAATACGGTCCAGATTTGACACGATGAAAAACATAACGTGCGTGCCCCTTTGCTCTACCTTCAATATTTACTTTGTTTTTTCTGTCCACAATCAATCCATATCGCAACTACTGTTCTGTCTCGTGCACAGCTTCCCGAAAAAGTAGCATTTGGCTTCATCGTGGAGGAATCGACCCATAAACTTCGGTCCGGGGGATGGTATCTTCGGTATATAGTGAGGTATCGGGAACTGGCTGACTGGCTGACCTTGTACATCTTGTTGTCCGTGCGATGCGGCGTGAGGCAGTGTGCTGGCGTGCCCATGGTCTGCTTCCCCATTTGGCACTGCAAAAGACAAGCAAGAGCGCAAAAGACGAGCAAGGAGGGGGTGACGGGATGCCCAACATTCTTTCACATTAAAACATTCACTGAAGGAAAGAAAGCCCCGGAGGGGGAGGAGTAAAGGTGGAGAGTTGTTCCCGTGCCATGACCACAGCTGGTGCGTCACGCGTTCACTAATAGTACCGAAAGGTGAGTACTAACTAGACAGCCGCCCTTAAAAGTATAGAGGGTCGGGGAGAAATCAAAAAGACAATGGATGGAGTAAGTTCGACAGTCCGTAGCAGCAGCAGAAGCAGCAACAGCAGCAGCAGCAGCAGCAGCAGCAGCAGCAGCAGATAGCAACACCATCACCCCCAACGCCAGCAACATGGACAACCAACACCCTACAACAAAAGGCAGCAGCAAGACAAAAGTAAAAAGCAACATCGACGACATAAAATTCTTCGTATTTTCTTGGAAAGTTGCAGTGCTGGCGAAAGATTCTAGGTTGCAACAATGAACAGCTAACTTCTGTCATGATAATGGTGACGTGGTTCTTGCCATGCTTGAGAGCAAGCCTTGGTGATACAAATTCCGGCGAATACTATATACTTCATGTTGCGGCCGGCCGGCCGCACGGGTTCCGTAAATACGATGATGAGTACTTCGCTATGGTCGCGAGTAATCGGAGGGCGCAGCAGGCTGACATGATCGAGGGATTGAGCAGACAACATGTTCCCCCGATCCAGCCTGGAAGGGTTTAGGAAACTGTCTCCTGACCCCTTTAGGGCAAGCGCCTCCTCTGGCGGTTGCCCGATCATCAACCCGGTTGTCTCACTTGACACCGCCCCCGAAGCGAAACATCAATTGAGCCATATCCTGTGAGTGCTGCACTTGATGCGTCGGATCGATTACTACCGAGCTTGCGAGGAATTGTGTGATCGCTGTTTGTTGGACGTCGTCAATCGCCCTCTACCGTAGGTGGCAAAATATACCACATCCGTGTAATAACATTTTCGGGGGGACAAAAGTTATTTCACGGGTGTGGTATTCTGTAGGGGGTGTTATTTCTTGCGTTACCAGTGTGATAAAGTGCACTCACAGAGTCCCACCAACAAGGGTGTGTGATAACAATGGGATGTGATAACAATGGGGTGGTACAATGGGGTGTGATACCATCGCCCGTGTGATGAAGCGCGCTCACAGGACCCGGCTTACAGGAGGTGTGATAACAAGGGCTTGTTGGTGCACGATGGTTCTCCGCAACGCGGTGCTGCTGCAGGGTTCTCAGCAGTAGCCGCGCTCAGGGTGTTGGCGGTTGGCGGGAGAGCTGCCCCTTCGGGTGCGGGGGCGGGTGCTGCGGGAGTCTCAGCAGTGGGTTCTGCTTCGCAGGTTTCAGCGACACATGCGGTGGCAGGCGCAGCCGGTGCTGTGGGAGTCTCAGCAGCGGTAGATTCTGTTGGGCGGGCCGCAGCAGTACGTGCGGTGTCATGCGCGGCTGCTGAGGGAGTTGTCCCAGCAGCCCCACGTTCCCGCGGGGCGGGTTGAAAGAAGGACGCGATGGAGCGTGGGGCCGCCGCTGGAGTCTTACCCACTGCAGTCTGAGCCGCCGGGCTTTCAGCAGGGTCGCTAACTGCACCACCCTCCACGGCATTGTTGGCCTCCACGGCCTTTGCGAGTAGGTGGTTGCTTGTGATCTCACGCCCTCACGTTGTCACACCGTGAGATAAGCGGGGGCTCCGTCAATAATATGCGGCCCGACTTCATGGGGTGTGGTATCTTACGTCACCGTGTGATGACATGACGCTTTTTTCGGAATTGAAAAAAATAGCACACGGGTGTGGTATTGTGTCCGTTTTCCGAGTGGGTGTGGTATCTAATGAAAGTGTGATATCATGCAAACTACGGTAGCTAGGCACTGCTGCTTGACTGCTGTCCTACGTAGTAGATCGGTCTGCGCAGAATAAGTGCACCATCTCTGCCCAGGTGAGTAATACATTACCAGATTAATGACGAAACCATATACGTATCGGTTTCATGGTACACGTACGGAGAATCGAACGCCGGGCGTAACCGTGGGAATGGGGATGTTACATGTTTTCGGTTTCGGTTTAATATTTTCGGTTTCGTTGTCGACTCAACATTCGTTTCTTTCGGTTCCTTTGTAATCTTTCGGCTTAAGCCTTTTCGGTTAAACCTTTTCGGTTACACTTTTTCGGTCAAACCTTATCGGTTTACCCTTCTCGGCTTAACCTTTTCTGTTTCACGCTTTCGGCTTAAAAGAGGAGTGGCCAAAATCGGGTACACCCGGCCCCAATCCGGCCATTATCGGGTACCTTGTTTTACACAGTCGGCAGCGCCCTCCTGGCGCCATCTGATTGGCCGACGCCCGCCCCTACCCGGCCCTGACCCTATTCCCACCGGGTGCACCCGATCTTGGCTACTCACCCCCCGGAGGGGTACCCGATCTTTCTCTCGCCTACCCGAAAATGGCTGGGCTA